CAGCCAGTGAGATCGCTGATTTTAAAGAAAACAGACCTTAAACGCGCCGGTTTTTGCATTGGCATACAGTTCGCCGAAAGCGCATAACCCAGGTTACTGGCAAATTAAAAGTCTCATTAGCATGCTTCGGCATAAACCCTAATGGTACGGTTGTCACACACGCATTTCAAAATAAAAGTCCAATATAAGCAAAATAAGTTAAATATTAAACTTTTGTTGTTTTTTTTGATCACACACTCCGCGACCCACTTTTGGGTCGAGACCCACCAGTTGAGAAACACTGGTTTAAACCATGTTAGTTATAACGTAAAACACCCATAATGATGCTCTAAACTGGGTTGAGGAACAGCTTTTTCAGAGGAGAACCCACCATTTATTTGTGCAGATGATATTGTTTTACACACACACACACAATTAAAATAAAATCCAATATTATTTTTGGTAAAAGCATGCACTCGCTATCCATATTAACTGAAATATATGTCAACAGCACATATAGAGCCTGTGTGTCCTTTACTGATATTATAGAGAATATTCCCTAGTCTATACTAAATTAACATAAAATCACTTACAAAAGCCAACACTATTCTCATATCATATATAAATCATATGCATAAATAAAAGATAAGGCGATTTACAAAATTTTGTTATTTTAAATTGATTATTTATCATGAAATGAAAAAATCCAACTTTAATATTAACATTAATAATGATGATGATGATCCTGATTATTATTATTATTATTAAGTAGGATATTGTTTATTTAATTTAATTTAATTTTATTTTATTTTATTTTTTATATATTTTGAGAAGTCTAATTTTACAATTTGTCACATGTAAATTACTGCAGAAATGTTCTAGCCAGCAGGCTCGTGTCATATCCAGTACAGATACTTGATGAATAACCCACTATACATTAAAGCATTAGCGTATGCTGTGTGTTTTGTTTTCACAAGCTTTAGAGATGTAACATAAACTCCGCTTTTAAACAATAGGTCACCTACAGCTTTTATCATGAGGCTGTGTTCAAAATGACATCAGTGTTTTCAAAGTGCACTGCGAAGGGAGCACAACTGTAAACATGAAGATCTCTAAAACTGAACTAAAGAAATAGTTTGAAAGCAAATTACAGCTGAGAGAGACGAGCTTAATGCGTTATTATTTTTAATCATTCCAAGTTTAAATGTTAGAATGTTCTACATGAATAGGGCATAGGGGGGATAAGTGGGAACAGCACACAGCCAGGAACTATGTTTCTAACGACAGCTCCAGGGGTGTAATTGCGAGTGCTCAAGTTTGCGATGCAGTTTGCGAATGTTCGTTGAAAAGACGAATTTGGGAAACATTAAATCAACAAACTATGCTTGTAATGATGCAACTTGCAACCTTAGTTGGCTAACGGTGGTTTTGGGAAACGCACTCCTGTGCGTTTACATTTTTGAAAATAATGGAACACCTTAGAATGCTCATCAGCCAATCAGAGTTAAGCATTCGACACACTAGTATAAGTTTACACTGTCTGACCGTTTACCTGTCAGAATAACTGATCTCAGCGATGGAGATGATCATGAAGAATATTATCTGACTAGACACTTTAAATAATGAAGTCTCTCTCATATTTGTCTGTATATTACTGTAACTGTATTACTGTACTGCAGGGG